TAAGTCCCATTTGTTGATTCTAGATATTAACTCTTGTGCTATGGGTGTCCTATTGAGGAATTTGGAGCCCGACCCCACAGTATGTAGGTCGTAGCCAACTTTTTCTTCTATCAGATGCCATGTCTCTGATTTGATATCAAGCTCCTTGATCCATTTTGAGTTAACTTTTGCTGGCACACATTCTTTATGAGCCTTAAGGACTGGCCTGGTGTCCTTTGAGATGGCCCCACCCACCTCCTGATTTGGAAGAATGTCCCTGCTCCCATCCTCTTGGAGGCCCCAGGCAGTGTGCAGAAAGTGAGCCTCAACCTGAGCCAGTGGCACTGATTTGGAGCCCTAGTTTATTGGCCTCGTGCCAGGCTCTCTCCCAGGAAGTCTGGATTAGGAGGGTGGGGTGACCTAGGTTGAAGGCAGAACTGGTGTTTGTTTAGGAATTAGCTACAGTTTGAAGGTGGGTGTGAAAAGTCCCCAGAAACAATTTACTTCCAAAACCTGTTCTTTTGATTATAGGACTGGCCCTCCTACAGCATTATTGGAGCATTATTTAAGCAACTGAATTGCAATTACACAAGTCTTCTTACTTGAACATGACAAATGGTTAAAGGACAAAGAATTCTTTTCCCCTCCACTTTCAGTAACTCTTTTTTTCTGATTTGGATTCTAATTTTAGAAACACCTATATCCTGTATTTATGAAACATATCAGGAAAATGTTTTTAGATTCCTCTTTTGTCCATGTTACTGCATTTGAAATTTGTTGAGTCTCTCCCATAGAGATTCTGCCACTTAATCCTCTTATGGGATCAGATTCATTATTCCTGTCAGTTAAGGATGAGACTGGGAGTAGCAGTGAGGGAAACTGAACCCAAACTGGAGTGTGATTCCAAAGTTGATTCCTTTCTTATCCAGGGGGAAGCTGAGAGGGAGTTTTGTCAGGGTGTAGGTGAGAGAACTGAGACATGGAGCAGAAAGAGGCCCTGTGTGCCCTTTGATCCCTGCATGACCTCTTTCTTTTTCCCCCATCACTCTGGTGGAACCCACTATCCTCTGATGTTCTTTCTCTGTGTCATATTTCCGAAACAGCCTCTTGTGTATTTGAAGCTGTGGGCAGGAAATGTCTGTTATGGGTAAAAGTCCTTCTCCTGGGACTTTGAAGATTTTTTTTTTAATGAGGAAGCCTGTCTGCAGCCTTCACAAGATCTCGCCTAGGCTGGAAAGTTGGTTAACTGATTTACAGCAAGCTGTTGGCATTACTCAGTAGCCCTGACTACTGGCACTCCTTATTATGACTTAATGCAAATCGGAACATATCCCCCTGCTGCTCTGGGGCAAGAAGCGAATTGGTGAAAGGTGGACATTCAAAGCATGCTGTAAGAGTAGGGATTTTTTTCCCCCTCTCAGCAGTAAAGTCAATTTTAAACTCTGTTTTAAGATAATTGACCCAAAGATATAGCATAAATGAAACTTCCAGGTCTGAAGGAAGACCTGTGCTTCGGTGGGACGATGTGACTCTTGTTCACTTAGCAACAGATCAATATTTACCTAGTGATTCATTTTTTTGTTTTCAAGAAGTGTTTGCTTTTAGTGAAACAAGCAGACCAAAGCTTAGTTCTGAACTATGAGGAAAATCTAGGTGGTGATACAAATCTCCATTTTTTTCAAGAATAAAAGATTTAATGCATATTCATTTTTTTAAAAATAGAAAATAAAGCACACAAAAATCATCTGTAATTCTTCCATCCAGAGACAGCATAACATTGCTATTTTGGTAATCATATCTGTAGTCTTTTCTTGTGAATGTACTCGCCTTCCACAAAAACAGGATGGTATGATTTGTTTGTGTTTTGAGGTTTGTTTGGTGTGTGTGTGT